TCCTGCAATGTTAATCATACCTCTTTTTATTCGCTGTGGGGGTGGAATTAATTCGCTAATTTTAGATTGAACTCTTTCTTGAGCAAGTAAAAGTATTTTTAAAAAGTTTGATGTTTCCATTTTATATTCATCATCAGAATGAGTTAATTAAAGCTATATTTCTGTTTGAGAGGTATTTTTATATTTGAAAGATGTGTTTTCCTTTTGGTGTCAGTTTGACCTGTTTTTCTGACAATCAACGGAAGTTAATTTAAAAGGTTTCTCAAATTTGTCAGCATGTTTTGTCGTATATGATTTTTTACGTAAACTGTTTGTTCTGGTTCGAATATGTCTTCAGGGTTGTCTTTATCCTTATTAAGTTTTGATGCTAAATGTTCCTTTTTATCTCTAAGTTTTTTATTTATTTCGTTATAAAGGACTCTGGCCTTTTCTTTATGATCATTGACATAGTCAGTTAAAAGAAGTTGTTCTAGTTTTTGATTAAAAATATCGTTAGTGGTGATTTGTCCTTATATAATGTCAATGGGTTTGCAGTTGGTTGCCGAATGGATTGTGTGATTGTACGCAAGAATGGTATATACCATTTTATGATTAACTGGAGAATTAGCAAAAGTTTGATTATTTAATAATCTGATATGTTCTGGAAGGGTTGAGTGTAATCATTCAATTACACCATTGGATTCTGGGTGATGTGGAGAACAAAAATGAACTTTTATCTTGTGAAGGGATAGTAGTTCGGTAACAACTGTTTTCTTAAATTCAGTGCCGTTGTCTAGTAGATTTGATTCGGTATTCCATGATGGGAAATATATATTAGTAGATTGTTAACAATTTCTGTTGAATGGAGGGATTTCAACTGATAGGCTTGAGCGTATTTAGAAAAACTATCTATTATTGTTAAGAATTTGCGCTTTTCGAAGGTAAAGGTGTCAAGATGAATTATTTCAAAGGGTTTTAAAGCTGTTGGGGTGACGTCCATTAAAATTGTTGCAGGTTTTCGTTCATGTTGGCTTCGAGCACACATTTTACAATCGTTAATGTATGATTGGATAGAATTTTTTAATTCAGGCCAGCAATATTTTTCTTTGATTCTTTTTAAGGTTTCTTCACTACCTGGATGGTGAACTGTGTCAACTGATTAATATTGCCGTCCTTACGAAACAACTTGAACCAAACAAATCTAATCTTACCATGTGTCCGTGGGTTGGAAAGAGATAGCATGTGTAGTATGCAGATAAGTTGGTCTAACTAAAATTCCTACATTGTAGTATGTTGGCAACAAAATGTAAGCCCCGTTGAGAACTGCAGAACATAGAAAAAGTAAAATGAGAGAAGTGGCGGTGTAATGCTAATAAAACTTGGAACTGCGTTGCGCCACAACCGGCTGACCGTCAATTACGGACAGCTTTGACGGAAAAAACCGGTATCTAGATTATCGGCTAGTAAGAAGCGGAAATTTTAAATTTTGAAAGGTACAAAATACTCCAGATACACAAATTTCGG